GGAGGACTTGGGGGGCTCAAGGAGGACTTGGGGGGCGCAGGGGTGGGGTCTACTCTTCCGTGCAACCCTGAAGAGACTTTGCAAGAGCTTTCTGAAGCTGGGGTGGTTTCTCTGGTGGTTTTAGGGCTGCTGCAGCACCTTCTGCAAACCAGCCTGGGCTTGCTGGAGCTGCTGCAGCGATGACGAGGTGGAGGGGGGTGGAAGGGGGGGTTGAGCCTGAGCCAGGATCACAGGCTGACGTGCTCAGGGGACTGCTGCTTGTCTCCCTCTGGTAGACCTGGGGGGGCTCAAGTTGACCTTCTCCAATGAATCCCCCCAGCACGGGCTTGCCTGCATGCCAAGGGTCCCCTCAGGGGTCTCCTCCAGCTGCTCAGGAGCAGCTTTTTTGGGAACTGAGGGGGGCCCCTCTGGCTTTTGTGCCTTGCAGAGACTTTTCCTCTCGCTGTGCAGTTCCTCCAGACCAGTTTTCTCCTCCCAAACCCAGAGCACTGCCCAGGGCACCTCGTGCCAACCTCAGAGCTGAGAATTTTCTATGTTTTGAGCTAAACATGCACTGAAACCTCTCCCAGGGCCAACAAGGGCGGGTTGGGGAGGGGGGGATGTCCAAGTTTGGTGCTCGGAGGCAGCTCTGAGCTGTTTTGTTCAGGTTTTTTTCTTTTAAAAAAAGCCTCCCAGGGCTGAATGGAAGGTGGAAAATCCCCCAGAGCAGGGAGGAAGATGTGAGTCACCTGGCCACCCGTGACAAAACCCTGCTGATGCACACCCAGGCTTTGGAAAAGCTTTTATTGAAAGCCCCCCGGGGGTGATGGTGGGCTGGGGGTCGTCACTTCTTGCGGGGCTGCTTGGAGGGGCCGTCCTTGAAGAACTCGTTGAAGCCCATGGTGATGCAGGCCAGGAAGCAGACGTACTCCTTAAAGTCCACCTCGCTGTCCTTGTTGTGGTCCAGGTCGTTCATGAGCCTCTTGAATTCCACCTCATCCATTTGTTTCTGTGAAGAAGGGAGGAAGAAGCAGGTTTGGGGCGCACAGAGGAGCGAGGGGGTTCCTCCCCCAGCCCAGCTGCAAGAAAAGGGGGAAAAAAAACCCTGAGAAAAACCCTGAGCTTCCCTCCCCCCTGCCTTGGAGGAGGGTTTTCTCTTTGCTTTGGGAGGGAGGTGGCCTTTAGAAATGCAGCTGGCTTCCCCCTGATCTGGCACAGCTACAGCAAACACTCCTCTTCGTCACGCCAAGGTTTGGCTGAAAGTTTCCTCCTCCCTCCTCCCAGTTGAAACCACAAGCCAGAAATGGGAAGTAGGGGTTAAAAAGCACTTTAAAAAAAAAAAAACTGGAGCATGATTTTTCTTTGCCAATCCACATATTTCTGTGGGGAGAAGAAAGCCAAAGTTCCTGCTGGTTTGAGCATGCCCCAGCTCAGCTCCTCCTGCCTTCATCCCTCCTCCTCTGGAGCTCGAGGTCTCGGCGTGGGGCACGTGGGCTGCCCCCCTGGTGCTCTGGGGAAAGCCCGAGACCCCCCCTCATCCCCCCAGGGTTTGCACCACGCTGATGGAAAGCCCCGAAGCTGGTTTGGCTCCGCCCACAGCTGAGCACCCCAAAGGGAGGCAAAGGGTGCCACTTACGCTCCCAAAGACGGGCAGCTCCTTGTTGAGCAGCTCCTTGAGCTCGGCTTTGCTCAGCTTGTACTTGTCCCCTTCCTTCCCCGAGTACTTGTGGAAGGTGGTGACCATCACGGCCAGCGCCTGCTCCAGGGGACACGCCATCGCCAACCTCGGGCACGTCTGGGGGGCACCCACGGGGTCAGGACAGGTTTGGGGTGATGACAGGGATCCATCCCCCCTCCCGACCCTCCCCAAATCTCTCCGGGATGCCCCAGAGGGGCAGCACAACCCCGGTGCCTCTCGTTGGGGTGTTTTTGGGGGAGCTGGAGAGCGCAGCCCAGGAAGGGGTTTCGCCCGCGCCTCATTTTTGCCTAACGAGCTGCGTGATCTCATTAGCGGGTGCTGGGTGGGTTTGGGTGCTGCCAGAGGAGCTGCCGGCCCTAATTGGAGTCTGGGGACCGAGGCTCAAGTCAAGGGGTGGGCACGGGGTCTGAGAAGTGCCCTGGCATCCCCTGGGGCCTCCCGGAGAACGTTGGGCCCCAGCTCACGTCCCAACTAAACTCATTTTTGCCTAACGAGCTGCGTGATCTCATTAGCGGGTGCTGGGTGGGTTTGGGTGCTGCCAGAGGAGCTGCCGGCCCTAATTGGAGTCTGGGGACCGAGGCTCAAGTCAAGGGGTGGGCACGGGGTCTGAGAAGTGCCCTGGCATCCCCTGGGGCCTCCCGGAGAACGTTGGGCCCCAGCTCACGTCCCAACTAAAGCATCACCACGCTGTCCCCCATGCCACCCACTTTCTGGGTGGCCCCAGTCTCCCCAGGGTGGATGGTCCCAACCACCCCCATCCCAGTGACCCCAAAGCAAACAAAGAGGCTCCTCAGAAGGATGGGGAGGTGACAGGAGTTTTACTTGAGCCACGAGCTGGGGCTTGGTGTTGGTTGGCAGGGCCGTGAGCCTTAGAGGAGTCCCTGCAGACCACGGAGGCAATCCACTGAACGTACCCTCTGGGGTCCATCATGTTGTGCTCGTCCTCCAGGTCCTTCAGCAGCACCCAGAAGCTGAACTTACCCTGTTGTTCCTGGCATGGAGTGTTGGCGGGGTCAAGGATGGCAGCACAGGTTGGAATCAACCACAACAGGTAGTTTTGGCAGATGGGGGCAACCACTTTCAGGGAGGAGTGAGCCCCTCCCTGACCCCCACACCTTCCCCAGTGCTGGGGGGGGGACATGGAGGTGTCAGTGGGGGCCCATCCCACGTGTCCCCCATGAAGCTGGGCAGCTCCTTCAGCTCGCCCTTGCTTGGCTGGTGCTTGTCCCACCGTGCCCATGGCAGGTGGTGATGCTGGAGGCCAGGGCTTGTGCCAGGGTGGTGGCCACCCAGGCCAGGGGCTGCATCCGTAGAGGGGGGCACAGGGATTTTCCCTGCAGCCCCCCCAGTTTTATCTGCATTGCCACCCATCCACAAGGGCCTGTTTGGGTCGGAGGGAGCCAGGGTGAATCCTCACCTGGTGGAATCCAAGGTGGGCACCTCAAAGCACCTCAAAGGCAACCAACCTTTGAGTCTGGCAACTGCAGAGGAAATGTTCTCCCAGAGATTTGTTGGGGAACACATATTTGGGGGATGTTCTGAAATCTTCGTGGCACCTCGAGGCTGTTGTGCTGCCAGGGCCTGGCACAAGGTGCCCGGAGCTGATCCCACCAGGAACACAAGGCCAGGAGCGTGGCTTTGAGCTC